GATAGCTGATACTACCTCCAATCCCATGACTGATCAAATGAGTACTAGTCACTATTCTCCCATGACTACTATTACAAGTGATACTAATACAACTACTCCTTACACAAACACCACTGCTACTTTCTACCCAACTAGTGATGCAAATATTGCTACTTACAGTACTCCTACTACAATTGGTACGAATGCTACGAGCCCATACACTGACAGTACTTTACCTCCTAATCCTACAACAATTCCTTCAGCAAACACCACTCATTATGATTCAACTACTATACCTATTGCTACTGCTAATACTACTACGACCACTATATCCCCAACTACGTTTACCCCTCCTACCACCACTGTCCTGAAATGTGATAATGGAGGGAAACCAGAGAACGGTGTCTGCATCTGTCCTGATGAATGGACTGGAGTAACATGCTCAGAAGGTAAGAAGTTTTACCGACTAGAGTCTGATGGGTCAAAAACATTCAGATGAGAACGAAAGAGAGAATGCCAGAGACCAAAAACTATAATTTGCTCAAAATGTCTAATGTACCAGCTGTAAGGATTTCTACAACCTGAAATCAAGTTTAGCATGCATTATTTAAAAGTCTTTTTTTTCTTTTGTGATTAAAAACAAATAAAATTCCTAGTATTCTAAAAAAACAAACGGAAAAAATATTTATTTTTTAACAAACTTTTCGTAGAAAACTTCTGCAAAGAGCAGCAGTTAGGAGGCTTCAGGTTCCCTCGTACACCCATCGGCTGGTTTGCGTATTCTGAGGAAAAATGTGAAGTAGGAACGAGTGGTAGTAAGTCATCCACATCTTCCCCTCAGTCCAACATCACTCCATCACGTAGACTCTAGTGTATTGATGTTTATCTTTCTATCACCATTTCCATTCAGCTGGTAAATCTAAATCTTCAGCCAGATGTTTGTCCATGAATGGATCACCAGGTTTCAGCCCTCCACAGATCTTCCAGTGTGACCTGACGCTCAGCGACATACAAAAAAATGTAAGAACAGCAGTTTTTTTTTTCTTCTGAAGAAAGATTGAAAGTGTCATATGGCTGAAGTTTGAGTATTTCTCTGTGAGGTAATCCTGTAGAAATGCAGCTCTGAGGTAACATGCAGATGATTCCAGATTCAGTAAAGAACCAGATGAGTAAAATCATGTCTTTCTTACCTCAGCTTACAAGTCCAGCTGATTTAGAGACACTGGCGACCAGCACTCAGATTCTGACATCAAAAGCAGAAGAGCTGACGGCTGAAAATGTTACAGCTGCGGCTGAGATTGTCAACACACTGCTGCTGTCTGCAAACGCCACAGAGGTACAAACATTCAGCAAATCGTAAGGGGCAAAAAAAGAAAGTAAGATGTTAATCTCAGTTCATATTTGTGTCTGTGCAGAGTGTCAGAGTGTCAGCAGTAGCAACAGTCAGTCAGCTGCTGAACGCCACTATACCAGATGATACCAAGGAAAACAACGCAACTCTGGGGTAAACTAAATATGTAAATAAACAAATAAATAAGCTCATCAGCAGTGAAGCTAAGACTGTTAAAAACTGCTGTAAAGGTGGCACTATGGGAAAGATCATTAAAATATTCATCATGAAACTACAGCCATGCTAGCAGTGCTGAGGTTAAACTGAAATACAAAGGAGCTTTGACCAAAGTGCTAACATCAGCTGTATTTATTTCTGTCAACCAGATTTAACTCATATTCAGTGATAATTCACTTTTTTCTATATTAGATGAACAACCTGTCTAAGCAGCTACAGTATAAAGAAATATTTCACTGTGACACTGGCAAAAAGTTGATTTTAAGCAATGTTTGCCATGTTCACCATCCTAGTTTGATTGGCTATTTTGTAATTCCTCTGAAGTGTGATGCATTTTAGCATATAAACAGGAACTGGCAGTTGTCAAAGTTGTTCTGTTTTAGAGACAAATTATCCAACTCACAAATGAATAATAATTGATTCAGGAATTTAAGAGCAGTTTTAAGAGTGTCAGCAGTCTTAGTCTTTCCTGTTCCAATTCAAACTGTACAGACCTCCAATTGTAAATATTCTCATTAGACCTTAAATATCTGTACTATTCAGGTGAGTTTCCTTTTGAGATGAAGGTAATAAAGGTAAAGTTGAAGTTCTAAACTGACACTTATAGTTCAGGGGGAGTGCCAAAAATGGACTGGTACAACTGAATATTAGAAACTACAAATCTGATTAAGACAAACAATGTTTTGTGTTTCTGTGTTTGTTTGTTTTATTATTATTTGTTGTTGTTGTTGTTGTTTTTTTGTTGTTTTTTTTTGGGGGGGGGGGGGAGTGTCTTTTTTTTTTATGTCCAGGCTTACGGTGACTCTGGACCAGCTCTCAGTGAACCTCAGCCTCAGTCAAAATACATCTCAATCTCAAGTGGTTCAGCCGAACTTGGTGGTCCAGTCGGCACAGATCCCTGCTGCAGACACTCACGGAGTCCAGTTCACCTCTCTCAGAGGTCAGTAAGAAACTGTGTCGAACAGCAGTGGTCTTCCCATGGAGTCGTTTTTATTAAATTATAAAGCATTCTAAAGCAAATACCTGCAGGTTTAATCAAATATTGTAGCTGACAGATCTAAAAGCAAAGATTTGAACACAGAGAGAACAGATTGGCTTCTACTTTGTAGTTTATTAACCAGGTTATGATTTCTACTTCACTTGAGCTTTCAGCAGTTGAACTCTTGAGTGAACTCTCAAGGTTGACATGTTTGCCCAGTTGACGGTTCTAAAGTCCAGCTGTGGTGATTTCTTATCTTCTGTATAAAGCAACTTTGTTTGTGTCCTTTGATGGTTTTACCATTGAAACTGGCTGCTGTTGTTGTGCTCTGTGTCCTGTTCACTATTTAGTCTTTTTACTGCTGTATTTTCAACACGTGTGATGGACTCATGTTTACTGTGACTGAAACACAAAATAGTTTTGAGACCTCAAAACTTGTGGAAGGATTATAAACCTGAACTCAACTTAATGATGTGAATAACTTGGCCTCACTCTCTAAATTTGCATGTAATAATGTATTTTTTCAGACTCAAAACACAGAAAACAACAATAAAAAAAATTTGATAAAGTCCTCAGGAACTTAAGTTAAAAATCTACCCGAGATTCTGTCTGCTTTTGTCAACTAGTATCACTTTGATCCAGTTAATTTGCCATTGAATAAATATGATCTGAATACTTCTGTGGGACAGCTCCCAAGAATATTTTTATGGCTGAAGTCCTTGGCTGGTGGTTCTTTATTGCTCTGCTGAAAAATAAAAAAAGCAATAAAATTGTCAAATTCATCAAGATTTAAAAAGTAGTGCTCAGTTCAATTCTTCGAGACTATTTCAAAGTTACAAAGAGATACTAGAAGCAAGTTACTTTCTCCAGTCAGATAAAATAAAATGAAATGATCTTATTTTCAAAAAATGGTGTTGTAAAGAAATTATCTTAAATTTGTTCTTAACTTTAATTTTAATCTGAACTTTAACTTTAAAATTGAAGAACTGATAGTAAATTTGCACATTTTTGGTGTGTTCACTGACATGCAGTCATCTTGTCACTACAGGGATTTCTGGGAATTTTTTGCCCAACAGAATTCATCTGAACACAAACGCAACACAGGTCGTGATGGAAAACAGTTTCATAGCTGATGCCCTCATTTACATACGATTCCCGCCAGGTGAGTCTGTCTTTTTAAAGCTGAAAAATCCTCTAATTTTAACACATTCTTACTAATAGCAGTGGATTCTTTCCTCTCATGTTAGGCGAAGATGTCAGAAGTCGTCAGACAGACTTGAACGTCTCTCTGGGTTTTGTTCTCTATCAGAATGATCGTTTCTTTCGTTCAAAACTCTACATGAAGCGACGGGCCACCATAAGGGTCCTGTCAGCTAGCGTCAGAGGGCAGGAACCCAACATGGTGCCACAACATGTGGAGATGTTGTTCAGACCAAGAGTAAGAAATCCAGTATCTTCATTCATATATAAATCTAATGACTGATGTCTGCTGGTTATAATTTAATATCTTTAGCACAACTGCAGTTCCTCCTGCTGCTAATGGGGTAAAATTGGCCACAAAAGTTAACTTGTCCAGTCACACTATTGTTCTGTATATTTATGAGAATGGGTTTTGTTTTCTTGTTTTCGTGTGAGGAATGGATTTAAATGCTTTAAGTTGTAGGTACTGCAGAAAAAGTTTGCATGTTATGCATGTTAGTTCTGTATGGAGTGGAAGGATTTTTGCCAGGATATTATTATAAAAAATATGTTGTAGATGTGTTACCTTTAACAATCTGTATGTTAAAATACAATGATGTCATGTTAATATCAAATATACAATATCAGAATTGATTCAAAGCAAACACAAATACTGTAAGAAAAATATCAATAGTTTTAACAAAACAAAAGAAAAGCAAACAAAATGCATTAAAAATCTGTGTTAAGTCTAAATTATCTAAATTAAAGGGCTGTCTGTGCGCTGCTGTTTCAGAACATCAGTGGAACGTCTCTGTACGACTTCTCCTGCGTTTTCTGGAACTACAGTCAGAAGGACTGGAGCACCAGCGGCTGCTCTAAAGGAAACACTTCAGATGGACTCATGAGATGTTTCTGTAACCACACCACCAACTTTGCTGCTCTCTGGGTGAGTATCACAACTCTGCAGACTGAAAGATGAAGCCACAGTTTGTTGAGTCTTCATCAACAATTGCAAATTACAGATATTTAGTGAGACTTTTGATCATATCTGTTTTTCAGTCATTCAGAGAGAACTACGAGTATGCAGAAGCTCTGGGTGCGATCTCCATCGTGGGACTCTCTCTTTCTTTTCTGGGTTTGATTGTGACGATCATTTATAACGTTAAAGAAATGTAAGACTAGACCACCCCACCACCTGCTAACATGCAGCAAACATGTTAGAAACAGAAGTGTTAGCTACAGAGTCAAAATTGGTCAAAAACATTGGTATGACAAAAACTGAGCCATAAATCTAGATATTTCAATGACTTCCCTACTCTTCTCTCAGTGCTTTGTTTACTTTATTTAATTTTATTGTAATTGAGAAAATTGTAATTACCCTCTTGCTTTTATCCAGAAAAGGAATCCTTCAGTTCTTAAAAATTGTAAATTATTTTTAAATTATTTCTAGAACTCATCTCCACATTTTTACAATGTAATATTTTAATAGTTTTAAGAAGATGACCTAATGGTTGTGTGGGCATCTTCCAATCTTACCTTCTCAAAGTAGATAAATTAGATTTCTGGTCTGGATGCTGAAGTTAAACAGAAGGACAAACAGTTTGTTGTCCTGTGAAAAATAATTGGAAAATAACACCATCATTCAATCACCACTAGGTTCCAGAGGATACCCAAGTTCTGACCAAATGTCCTTGGGTTATATCTCCTCTTTAACTTAAATCAAAGAAGGAAAAAAAAACAGAGTGAGTTTGAAAGTATTTGCAAAGAAGAATTTCAGAAAATCTCTCAATTGGGTGAGCTTGTGGATTCATAATTACACAAACAAACTAAAGACTGTAACTTCCGCCAAAAGTGCGAACAAACAAAACGAAGGAGGTCTGAATTATATATAAAATAAAAACAAATTTAAAAAAACATATTTATTAATATTTTGGAATGAAAGAAAACAGAGAAAAGGTAATAATAATAATAATAATAATAATAATAATAATAAAATTTAAAGAAATAACATGAATGCAATTTACTGTTTTGAGAAAAGTCAAAAATTTTAAGGAGATTTTTGCTTTGTATGACAAAAATAGCAATCAATTTTTGCAACATCACAATCTTGTTTTCAGCCTTTTATGTCATATTTAAAATTACATTCACGTGTATTTCTATTTTTTTTTTACAGTTTTCCTGTAAGACTTCATATTATCATTTGTCACTTTTTCATTTTCATCTGTAGTTTTCAGAATGAACAGAAGAAAAGCCTAATATCTCGGCTGTGCATCTACTTCAGCCTGCTGGCCTTCATCATCACCTTTGTCTCTGGAGTCCAAAGCTCCAGCAGACAAATTGACATTGAGGTGCAGACTGACGATCGGACCAATGACCTCCTTGACTCGGATGAACGCATAGAACCAGACCGCGGTTCGTGTACGGCTGTAGCGGCTCTGCTGCACTTCCTCCTGATGGCCACCTTCATGTGGAACAGCGTGAACGGTACTCAGATCCTGATTCAGAAAATACGCCGCAGTCTACCACCTCACTGGACTCTGCTGGGCATGGCTCTGGGATGGGGTAAGACATTTATAAAGTCGGGACTTAAATCTGACATGCTATTTATTCTTGAAGACCCTTCAATCTGTCCCAATTAACGACTTATTGTGTTAGGAGTGCCAGCCTTGTTCATGGGCATCACACTGGGGGTGACCTACAGAGTGGACAATCCTCTGAGATACAGACAGGAGGAATTGTGGGTAATCACACAAACCACATTTATCTACTTTAGACTGACCTGTACTTCAATATGAACAAAAGTCACATTTTTACCAATATTATAGTGTTGTTGTTGTTGTTGTTGTATGATGCTACTCACAGAGATTCAGTTTGATACAACCATTCTTTTCGATGCGCCTATACAGCTTTTGTAATTTATTTTTTTTATCTTTACAAACTTTATTATAATTCCTCTTAGTTTTGATTAAAGTTTAGACAAAGTTATTTATTCATATTATTTGTATAATTCTTTTTCATGTCACTGAAGTTGCTGGCTGGCAGCACTGGATAAGAACAAACACTTCAGCTTTGAGAAACCTTTGTTTTGGGGTTTCCTCCTTCCAGTCGGCCTGATCTTGATCTACAACATCGTCCTGCTGGTTTATGTGTCCATTAAAGCAACCAGGAAGTCCTGCTTCAGGAAGAGTTTCCTTGAATGCTTCACTCTGGCTGTGTTACTGGGTGTGTCCTGGGTTTTTGGGTATCTGGTCCTCATCACTTCAGGAACAATGAACCTGGTCTTCAGCATTTTGTTCTGCCTCTGCACAACCACACAGGTAAGACTCTACCTTCTGATTTTATAACTTCAACTGAGAGATTAAATCAAAAGGTTCTTCAACGGTTATACAATCAGCTTATCGTATTATTTTATTATTGTTATTTATCACATTAAAAGTTTTTGAGTGATTTATTTTTAACAACACAAAAGCACGGCATTTTTACAGGGGTGTGTGCACTTTTTATGTCCACTGAAAGTCTTTGTGTTTTGCTTCAAGGAAAATTTTTGATTTTTGATTTTAATAATCTTCTCAGCAGCATAGTAAACATATCAGGTCCCCATAAGGAGAATCATGTGCTAACGGCTGTCTAAATGACTCGGGTAAAGTTCGTAGCATGCGTGCTTGTTGCTTTTGTCTGCTTCCACTTGTCTTTGCACTAGGATGATGTCAGCGTAAATGTGCAGACATATTCGTTCTGTTCCCACTAGTGCTGTCAGCATTAATCTTGTTAAAATGACATTAACACCATAACGTGGCAAATCTCCGTTAACCAGTTACCGCAGATCGCCCCGTGCGTGGGGCTGGACACATTAACGAGCTAACCACGCTAACACACTAGTTCCCACCAATGTAATTGAGCATTGCGTGGCACATCCGACATACTGTTTTACTTTTGTCCATGAAGCGCTTACCATCAGGGTCATACGTCACATTAAGACCAAATTACTTCCAAAGGCCAGATCTGAATGAGGGTGGGGGAGGTTCAATTTCGGCTAGTGATGAGGCAGTTGCCATGTTGCAACGAGCTTAACTTTTGTCTGGCTAGCCTGCGCTGCGCTCAGTGGATCTGCGCTCGACAGTGCAAGCCTAGGCGGAGTAGTAGTAGCGGAGCGCTCAACACAGACAGCATCGTCAGAAGAAAAGTTGATAAAATAAATTAGAAATGTTGTATTGTTCGATACATATGCGTACCGAACGCACTGTATCGACACGGTTTTGCCGGGGCAAGCCGTGTGGAATATGAAATAGGACCCAAAATGCGTAGCTCTGGTGCATGGTGATTGATATACTATTTGCATATATATATATATATATACAATATATATATATATATATATATCATATATAATATAATATATATATATATTATATATATATATATATATAAAATATATATATATATATTTTCCCTCTCTATGTTTTCAGGGTCTTCAGATTTTTATCATCACAGCCACAACGCCGACCTTCAGAGCCACCATGTCCCGATCAGTGCAGTACCTTTCCTCAGCCAGCATCTCGTTTAACAATGTGAAGTTCCGTCTATGGAAGAACTGGCACAAGAACCACTCGGAGAAGTACAGGGAAAAATGAGGTCATAACAAGCAGCTGACCCATTACTTGGGGATGATTTTAAAAGCATCTGTATTCAATTATTTTTAATGTGAACATAAACTAAATAACTGCATCACAGTCAATCAAAAATCAGAGTCATGATCACATCAACAATAAACCTCCAGAAATCTCCTCAAACTCATTCAAATCTGTGGAATAAGCAGAATTAGACTATTTTGTTTGTTTTGTTCATGAACAAGTTTTCCCTGAAATTTTTCTGGGTAGGGACAAAAAGCAGATCTGCTAAAGGAGCTCAATTTCCCAGGATGCACAGAGGATGCTCCAGGATGTTTGGGCTTCTTTGCTGCAGGCAGACTTTCTTTGACCAGACAGAAACCAAACGCTAGCACAGTCACATGTTCAGGAACAGACTGCAGGTATGAAGACTTGGTTTTTTGTTATTTTAAGAATCAGCATTGCTCTCCAAGTAGCATCTTGTATCAGTCTGAAGTGATTCATGTTGGTAACAGTGTCTACACTAGCCTTGTAAAAAACTAAAGTGACCCAGGTGGAAAAAAGCAGTGACTATTCCTGCTTCCTGAACTGGCCTGAAATCAGACTCGAGTTCAGCAGGTCCGTTATTTGTGTGTGTGTGTGTGTGTGTGTGTGTGTGTGTGTGTGTGTGTGTGTGTGTGTGTGTGTGTGTGTGTGTGTGTGTGTGTGTGTGAATAAATGTGTAAAAACATTAAAAATAATGCTTTTCTGAGCCTGATAAGAACTCCGAACAGATTCAATATAATGGTTGCAAAAGCTGTCAGTTTAGGATGACAGCTGTGTCACTTTAGATCAAATGTTTATAACACTGTGAACTGGTATTTTATGCTTATCTGTGTTGTCTAAATTGTTTTTTAATAGTCTTAAGTATCAATAATGTAAATAAAAAGGAAAACACAAAACAAAACAAAAAGCAAAACAGAATTTGAGGTCTAAATTGCATCTATCTGGTCTGAACTGGTCTTTTAAAGGCAAAAACGGGTTTTAAATGGTCAGTAATATCAGATTGCTTAATGGAGTAATTCACTCTTAGTAAATGATGATTATTTACAAAAACACAAATTTTATCATCTGTGTCTGGAATAATTGTTAATTATCTGACAATTTGTTGTTTTTAATCTTTTGTCGGCTACTTTGATTGATGTCATCTTACAGATGGTGGATTTAGTGCATTAAATGAGGTCTTATACTGTGTAATCTAAGAAAGCTAATGCAAAAATGCAACTTTTGTTTATATGAGTGTCAACTGAGGAAGTTTCAATGTGATATTAATTCATTAAATTCAATACCTGTTTTCACTGAAATGTGTTTAACTGGACATTATGCATTTTTAAGGTTGTATTTTTTTTTCTTAGAACAGGCTTTTGTTGTGCTCTACGTCACCTTCCACAGACACAGCCACAATAATGTCTGGCTCAAAACAGCCTTTATCCAAACATAACGATTTGCTTAGATTAAAAACCATCTCAAACAAAGGATCACAAAAGTCCCATCACAGGCCTTCAGGGTAGCTTTTATCAACACATACTGTCACATGAAGACAGAAACTCTCACCGATAATAAAAATATCCAAGACCATGAAACCAGAAACACAGGATGGAAAACCTGAAAGCCATCATTAGAAGAACCATCAACAGCAATCGCAAAAGCTAAAGAAAACAAATCAAAACAAGAATCCAAAAATTCAACAAAACAGAAATCAGAAGATTACAAAAATAAAAACAAGAAATCAAAGAAAAATCATTTCAACCAAAACCTGAAGATTAAATTGATCCAAAAAACTGAAAAAAAAAAAGAATATCTTCAACTTTCATACCCGTAATATCAGCTCTATGTTCAAACCTCTGCTGCCACACCTCTACTGAGCATGTGCAGAGAGGGTTTCAGCACTCAGCTTGTTTGTGATTGAAGGAAGTGAGAGCTTCCTGTGACCGTCAGGCTGTGGGCTGGGCCTTCGTTGTAATCAGGGCTTATTCTGTTTGAAGCCTTTGGGGGAAAATGTTATTTTAATAACTTTTCACTGATCAAAACATATAAAATATGTTCCTTTTTTAATGGATTTTGCAGCAGTTTGAAAATTTCAGTGATGATCTGAGGGGTTTATTTTTTATTTGTTGGTCTCTTTCTGTGTTTTTGGATCCCACATGCATTAAATAGACTGTGGTCACATGATATTAATATGGGGGGGGGCATTTTTTTGCCCTTTGTCCATGGAGTGAAAAATGATGATTTTACTCATAATGCTTGATGATTTTTTTTAAATATGATGCCATACTGAGTAACTGTATTGAATTTGAGTATAATTATCCTATAATTTCTGAGGAATATTACAGCACGTAAAGTAGGTGGAAGAGAGGAAGAATGTGTTCAAAGTTTCACATCAACTATCAGGATGTTTTTTAATGATATTTTAAATATAAATTGATTATATTGCATTGACTGTATTGAATTTGAGCATAACTGACCTTAAACTTGTCAGGAATTTTGCTGCGGATTGAGATGAATGAAGATTCACATTGCTAACCAAACTGAAAAGAATAATGAATTAACACTAGGAAAAACAGTTGTCCTTGAGCTTCATTTTTCCTGCAGAAAAGACCTTCAAATCGTTTGTGCGTGCGTGCGTGCGTGCGTGCCTGCATGCTTGCGTGTGTGTGAGATGTCCGTGCATGCATGGGTGTGCTCGTGCATTTTTTTTGTGATCAACAACAAAAAAGAAGTGCTACCGTAAAGCCTAGTGCAGAAATGTGTGGAAAATTTATGTGGCGGAAATAAGGCGGCTTGCTTCATCGTGGCTCACAAATGACAACTCAATTCACTGCGGTAACATATCAAGGCTTGCTTTGCGTTAGCGGGCTGAAGAAATCCTAAAACTGCAGTGAGTTGCAAATTGTTTGTGGGTCTCTGCCTTCAGTGACTAAAAGTAGGTTGTACTGTGTTAAGAACTGACATTTGAAGGATATCCCATTTCTTTGCAATGGAAATACACTGATGTAAAGTTTCTGTATTTATACACAGCAAATCCAGCATGTCCAAATTAACACTGTTGGATTTGATTTCAACACTATTAAAGTGTCTATATGGGTCCACACCAGAGAGTGTTAATTTAACTCTTTTTGGAGAGTTGGTACGTTAACTCTGATTTAGTGTTAAACACCAAATCTGTCTGGAGTTGATAATTTAACACTTGGTGTTAAGAGTTTATATATTAACTCTCAAAGAGTATTTTAGTTTAACTACGTAAGAGTTATCTTCTAATTCATTCTAAAAAGCGGGAATTTTACTGTTCTGAACTTCTAGAAATTTCTTTTGGAAATAAACATTTACTAAAAAGATGCAATGGTTTTTGAAAAACATTTATTCTGAACTGTGCACCACAATTTCAAAACATTTTCTGAAAGATGTAACAGTATACATGTTCTCACTTTCATTAGAATTTTGTTTATCAAAAGGTCTGACATGGTAAATGCAAATAACAGCATTCTCATCACTTATTTCTTCAATACAATATGCATGTCCTTCATTCATCCCTTTGTGGAACTTCAACGCACTTCTGCTCTCCCCCATATTCCATCTTCACAAGCATATCCTGTGCGGAGATTGAATAAAAATTAGTTGACACTAATTAATGGCACAAATAATCCAGTAAACAATTGCAGCACAGTAAAAAAAAAAAGGAATCCTCTTTGAGCCATTACTTGTGTAAAGTATTTTCCCAAAAGACAAGACACAGGCAACAGGTAATACTGAACTAAATGTAAAACCTCAACCTTTTTCATTTTTACCTAAACCGTGTGCACAAAACTCTGGAGGGATCTATGCTAACGTAGAATCCAGTCAGGACGTCTGCTACTGCTGTTTGCTCGTTTTTTTTTTTATGGGCGATCGTTTTCAGGCTTCAAGTAGCACCATTATACCAACATTTCACATTCTAGACATTGTTTTAGGTGTATTTGACCAAAAGTTTGACTGAAAATTCACATGCAAGCTTTTTTTCAAGGCTGTGGTATTTGCCCGCAAACAATACCTTTCAGCTAGCTAAAACAGAATATTATGCTATCAGCGAGCAACATGGCTAATGCCTTTCACACAGCTTTGTCTCAACTCCAAAGAGCCACAGAAGTAAAAGCTAATAACAATTGAAACAATCTTTGAAAAAATGACTTACCAAGCATGGCAAACAACTCAAATATGTAGAGCAAAATGTTCTGAAACGGCTTCACTTCAGCTTCGATTGGAGCCGTGCTGGGGGCGGAGTCTGTGAATTTACTCTGTTGGTGTCATAGCCCCTCTAGGAGTTCAGAGTTAAGAGGTCAAGAGTTAATGTTTCCATTGTAACACCTCCAGATTTGACAGAGAAACACTCATTTTTAACACTCGATTTTAACTACTATCATTTTACACCTCAGAGTTACATTAAAAGAATGTGACTCTGCTTAGAGTAAAATTAACTCTACTTTTGCAAGGAGACTATTTTTAAACAGAAAAACACATTTTTGAAGAAATGTCTCGATGCATTTGGCATACCTGAACACTCTAAAACCGAAACAGATACTCAGAATAAGGAAGAAAAACCCAACTCAGACTTTTCTGTTTTAACAGTATTTACTCAGCACTGACCAAAGATTAATCCAGAAATTTGAAGTCCTGACTTCAGTTCTTAACTTGTGATTCATCTCCACATCTGAAAGTCTGCGTGCAGTATCCCAAACCTGCGACTACAGTCAGTGCATTGCTGGTACTACACAGAGGACTTTATCTTGTAAAACAACATGAAGTCTGTTCCTCAGAGATGTCCCTGCATTTAGCATTTGGTCCAAATCAAGTTATCAGCTTTGTTGCGGTGCTACAGTTCAGTTTTTGCGAGTGTGTAAGGTAAAAATGTTACTGCTCCACCCCAAAATGGGCCATGTGAGCCTGTCCCAGCCGTCATGGGGCGAGAGGCAGGGAGGTCACAAGTCTATCACAGCGAGACAAACAAGCAT